GTAGGTTAGGTGTTCGTTGGTTAAACTCTTAGGCGTTTTTACGATTTGGTCGACTTATACTTTAATCTTTCTATCGAATATATTGGAACCTTTCTTAACGCCAATTCTTTTCGGTTCTCTAGGAAGTCGCGTAGTACAAGTTTTAAGTTTACGGGCACAAGAGTAAATAAGGTAAGAATTTAATTAACCTTGTGAATTTGTTTATTAATGACGCCAATTTGTTTTTTAATTGTTAGGATTATAACATTAAATGCTACAATTCGGAACATTAAAAAATTTAATTCTTAACGAATTGCGAATATATTTATATATTCACCCACTTTTTACATGGTTTATTTTATTATGAATATCCGTCAAATCAAGATGCTCTCGCAACACACGAATCAGATTTAGTACATCTGATCTAAGAGTTCTATAATGTATTCGGTAAAATTGTTCTCGAGCTAGTTCCAATGTGCCATATATCCAAGCCGTCAGAGTATCGCGTTGCTTTAATGTTCAAGGACCTTGATCACAAAGAAAATAACAAAAGAAATAGACGTTAGATTTTTATTTTTACCAACATTATCAGATACCAACATATACTTACAAGTCAAGAAGTACTTTTTTACGATATATATTTGGAAGGGTTCATCGTGAATTTCTAAGGCCACAATTTCATATTTCTTTTCGTCATTATTAAAGACGTTATCAATATATTTTTCTAATCAGATGTTCACACTTCAGGATTGGTATCCCATATAGAAAGTAGTTCGTTTGCAAGTTCCCCCACCGACTTCTACATTTAACTCCGGAGATGTCGTATTAAACGCACATATTACGGATATATCTTCAGAGTATCTGAGAATTCCTCTCATCATTAAGCGATATATAGCGAAAAAATGTTGATAAATATTACATGTTTCGGGTTTCACGTCACTTCGGTATAAACAGACGTGTTACGTGACTCTGGATGTGTTTGAGATATTACTGTTGAATTTCCTTATTATTTAACGACGCTTATAAGGTGTTATTTTTAATGAGAATAAACCCCGAGG